ATGAATCTCTAACTAGAATAATCACTGTGAAAAATCACATCATGTTGCTGCTGATCTGTTTCATGTTGCTACTGATCTGTTTCATGTTGCTGCTGGTCTGTTTCATGTTGCTACTGCTCTGTTTCATGTTGCAACTGATCTGTTTCATGTTGCTACTGATCTGTTTCATGTTGCTGCTGATCTGTTTTATGTTGCTGCTGATTTGTTTCATGTTGTTGCTGATCTGTTTCATGTTGCAACTGATCTGTTTCATGTTGCTACTGATCTGTTTCATGTTGCTGCTGATCTGCTTTATGTTGCTGCTGATTTGTTTCATGTTGCTGCTGATCTGTTTCATGTTGCAACTGATCTGTTTCATGTTGCTGCTGCTCTGTTTCATGTTGCTGCTGATCTGTTTTATGTTGCTGCTGATTTGTTTCATGTTGCTGCTGATCAGTTTCATGTTGTTGCTGATCTGTTTCATGTTGCTACTGATCTGTTTCATGTTGCTGCTGATCTGTTTCATGTTGCTGCTGATCTGTTTTATGTTGCTGCTGATTTGTTTCATGTTGCTGCTGATCTGTTTCATGTTGATGTGTTCATTCGTACTCATCTGCTCACACAGACTCATGTTCGTGCTGCTGTTCGGCGCATTGTTTTTATGCTGTTAGTGCTTGGTGTATTTTTAGTTAACATTTTTCTTGGTTCATATCTTAGATCTTATTACTGTTTTTCTTTTACATTTTAATATTTTTGTTGGATGTAACTGGGACCCTGTGTATACAATTTTTTTTTCACCACATGTACCAAACAAATGTAACAAATAAAGAACCTTGAATTCTTGAATCGTTGAAAAGCTTGGCGTGTTAAGGCAATAATTCCAAGGAAAGTTTCAGGTTATAGTAACATACCAGTTAATTTGAAAGTGAAACTGTTTGAGTTTGAAGAATTTCTTTTTTAAAACAAATTATATCTACCATAAACAGAAATACTGATCGCATTATTTAAATAGATTTTAATATATTATAACGCGTAAATTGAAAAAGAAAATTCAGACACACATAGTCCAGTCACAGGAGCGCTTGTCTCTTTCCCTCCGTCTCAGAGTTGCTGTGAGTCACAACTCATTCATCGTGCCATCAGGTTTCATGTGAGTGAGTGTATGTTTGTGTCCATGTACCCTATGCAACATGCATATCCATTCCTTGGATTCTGCTCCAAGACTTTTGTGTAATGATGAACTCCTCCCACTCAACATCAGTCTGCCTCTTTCCTTTTATTTACAATGATTCAGCAGATTTAGATTTGACCTACTTTTCCTCATCCTGCTTCCCTTTGGGTCACAAGGAAGATCGAGCATCCGGGTGTGAAATAAGGGGACATCACATGTGTTTTTCATACAAGAACAAAAAAGCCACACTGTTGGCTCGTGTTTTGTTACCCACAGGAGATTTTCTGTGAAGTGACATCACTAACCACAATAATTATGGATTTACACTAACATAGCCTGCTTTGACACTTGTCCTCTGTGCTATCTCAGGTCCTGGTCCAACAGATGCAGATGGTCTGAATGTCTCAGCTGGGCGCAGCTGGTGTACTCATTGCTCTTTCATAGCTGTCACAGCAGGATGAAGTGAAGTTGAGCAGCAGGAAACAAAAAAACAAAACAGGAAGAAGCAAAGAGGAGGAGGATCTGGGTGAGAGAAACAAGGTGGATCAGGTGAAGGGTGAGAAGGAGACGTGCAGTGACAGCTGTTTACTGATGACGCACTCAGGAACAACATTATTACATGGCATAATGAAAAGGGCATTTTAGTGAAGGTGACCATGGCTACCATAAAAAAATTGTTTTTTTTTATTGCTCTCTTTCCATCTCCATCATTTTCTGAGCTATATTCGAACCTCAGCTAACACACAGCTTTTCTACAACACACAACACTTCCACTCAGCAGGAGACTGCAAAGATAGAGAGGGTCACATTTTTTGTCAGAATTGGAGCCTGTGGTTGAACCAGTGGAGAACGTGGAGAACTAACGTTTTTAAAAATGAATATGTAAAACACACAAACAGATAATATTAAAGGAACTATATACTATACTGTACTGCACTGCACTGCACTATACTGTACTATATTCTTGTGTTATGTTTTTTTCCTAAGTAATGCATGTACATGAACTCTGCACTGAACTATAACAATAACAACAATAACAATAACATCAACAATAATAATAATAATAATAATAAGACATGATTAAATTAGAATTAAAATTAACATTAAAACAAAATAAAACATTAATACCTGTAAAGTAACGGTATTTAAAAACATCTTAACAAGATTGCAATTCACTTTTAATAAATAAATAATGCAATTTAACAGAATTTTAACATTTTACATATATATATATTTTTTTTTTTCTTTGTTTTTACCATGTAACAAATGCAATATGGATCTGTGTTTTAATAACACTAAAGCGTTTTACTAGATATCAGAGTGACTTATGTTTATTGTTAATGTCAGGGGAATTCAGGTAAAGGTTTATGAATGTTTATTTAATGTTAAATTAATGTTGAACCATGTGTGTGAGTCACAAGAGTTGTTTTCCTCTCAGAGAGGAGCTGCATGTGCAGCTGGTGCACCAAGGTCAACTCCGAGTCTGAGCTGAGAGGCCGAGGTCATCGTGCTGATATCTATCCATCCATCCATTTTCTTTACCCGCTTATTCCATTTTGGGTCACAGGGGTCGCTGGTGCCCATGTCCAGCAATCACTGTGCGAGGGGCGGGGTACACCCTGGACAGGTCGCAAGTCTATCACAGCATCGTGCTGATAAGCGTGTATAAAAAAAAACACTTGTTGTACACTGTCCGGCGCAGATTCTCATGATGAGACTCTAAGCATGCAGCAATTTATAGTTTTAAAGCAAATATGTTAAAATTCTTGATAGGTTCTGTATTGTCTGACCTAAATGACCTCAGAAAAGCAATGGTTTTGCCCATCAGTCTTTGAAGAGTTTTGTCTTGTTTCCTTGGCACTGTGTTAACTTCAGCTGATTACGCAGGACTCCAAACTGCCACGACCTCTGCTTTCAGAGGTATTTCGCCTTACAAACCTTACTTTTAGTAGGTGTATCTGATTAGCAACCGCTCACTGCTCCTTACCCTTCCAATCCTTTGGAAGTAGTAAAAAGATACTTGGTACAGCTGGCTTCTGCATTTTGCCTTTGATGCGTATGACTGGGAAACTTTGCTGACTAACTTTTATTTAACCAGACAAATCCCAATGAGATCGCAGATTTGTTTTGCAAGAGGCCTGAGCCTGAAGGCAACCTAACATGATTGTTTTTAGACTGTGGGAGGAAACCAAAGTACCCCGAAAAATCCCACGCAAACACAAGAAGAACATGCAAACTCCACACAGAAAGACCTCAGGTCCAAACCAGGGATCAAACTCAGGACCTTCTTGCTGTGAGGCAACAGTGCTAACCACTGAGCCACCGTGCTTTTGAGACCAATTAAAAATTGTTGTTTTTTATCATCAACTGGTATGCAAACCACTCACTGTTATGTGAGTGGTTTGC